GAATGAAAGTCTGAATATATGGAACGAAAGTCTGAATATATATAATGAAAGTCTGAATATATGGAACGAAAGTCCGAATATATATAATGAAAGTCTGAATATATTGAATGAAAGTCTGAATATATATAATGAAAGTATATATATATATGTGTGTGTGTGTGTGTGTGTGTGTGTGTGTGTGTGTGTTAGGTGCCACTTGTCTCTAAATTCCATAATCTACACACACAGATTTGGAATAGACAGATTGCGGCTTGAAAATATAACTCATTAAACGGGGGGAATTCTATTTTAAATTAGAAATGCCTCTTCTCGCATGCATACTATCTGCCATACACACAGATATGATATGCATATATCATGCATTTACAGAACATTACAAGTGGTCTCACTTTTCTCTCCATCTTTCTCTCTTTCACACTTGAACACATGCATTTCCCTGTCAGCTCTCCATGTCATGAAAAGAGCCTTTGTGCAGACAGCCCGATAGCACCCCACCGGACCAGATCCTCGCAGCAGTTCCACCATCTGACACACACCCATAGTCTCGCTAACACATGTACACAGTCACGCTGTGTAAAAGAATGTCACCTGTTTGTCAGGAGCCATGTCATGTGTTTGACACCGCGCTTCAGCTCTGCAATTTTCCCTTCACCTTGGCTAATCTGCCGCTTATTTAGGGCAGTCATGCACACCAGCGAGTCACCTGCCCAGTGAGAGCCTATTATGCTAATTAGTGTTTTAGCACAGCGTTAAAGGAACATTAGTGGTTTGTGACCCTCACCAAAAACCAAAAATAAAGGAAACTCTTCCCAAACCCCGCGGCCCCCCCGACAAAAAAAAACCTAGGCTTACAAAGAACAAAATCAATGAAAAGAAACCTCAGGAGAGGCAATTCAAAGAGAAATCTTCCTTCCTTGAACAGCTGGGGTGCAACACATGAGCCATTGGTGAAAAAAGGTAAGAAAAAAGAAGGAAAGACATGAAGAAAAGAGAAATCTTCGATACAATGTTGGTATTGTATTCACCTTATGATTTGTACCTGACAGTTTTTTGCATTGCCATCCTATTTTTTCCTTTACCCTTAAAGAAAACAGGATGTTTTTTGGCCTGTTTCTTACATATGCGGCACAAATCTCTGACTGAAACAAACAAACAAACAAACAAATAAATAAATAAATATAAAATACAATAAAATAAAATAAAATAATGTGGTTGTAGATCTTGTAAAGCCAACTTGATGACAGAATGATAGCACCTGCATCACTTTTATTTCCACTTGTTCCACTCCACTGCTTAATTTGAGTCTAGTTAAGTCACATTGAGATTGATGACATTTCACATGGGCAGCCTATTAGCAGGTTGTGGTAGCATTATACTGTCTGTGAATTATTCAGCGTAACACTTATAATATGATTGCCTGTATAAACTGAGAGCAACGCAGATTAACCAAGCATAAGAAATGTGCGTCAGACACAGGTGACCCTCCCTATTACGCTGCGGATCAAGATGACCCGATTAATATCTGCGTTGTGTAAAATACCGGTTGCCTCCTTTCTGAAATTATTTAGCCTTTTCACATTCCGGGTCATGACGTTATGTGTAACGTGGATGCAGTTGGTTTGTCATGCTTTCATGTAATTAAATAGTTGTACAGATGCACGGTAAAAGTATAACAGACTTTATTCCACAAACTGGATCTACATGGCTTGTCAAGATGAAAATGAGCCGTACTAGATTTCAACAGGATTTCCTGAAGACTCCACATAAACAAGACTGAAGGTTAGAACATGTGTCTGCTTATAGATAAACCCGTAAAGAAGGCCATTCAGAGATGAAAGCTGTTTCTTTAATAGCTGAGTGGTTGACAGTTTAGCTTTATCCATGTTACCAACATGACCCTATGCAGGTCATTGTTGGCCTCTCAGGTCACTGCTGTGATGCACACTGAAAAATCAACAACAAAACCACAAGGGTTGAATTGGTTCTGACACCGACAGTACTCAGGCTATGAATCATGGACTTTTATGATACTCTGACAATGACATTTGACCAGCAGGTCAAACTTTTCACTTATTGTAAAATCATCTACCTGATAGATTGCC